CTGTATTTCCTTCACACCTTGCACTAGCAGGAGACCCACCCAGACCTGTGCTTTTCCTGTTTCCAACACCCCCTCCCCCTCAAGCTCAGGGCAGAGGCTGGGCTCAGCCTCACCACACCACTGGACACCAACCTGGAGGCTGGGCCTGCACTCGTGGGAAAGGCCACGAGGCATTTGAGCCAGCATGCCACCCAACTCCTCAAAAAGCCTCAGGGCCTGGGAACAGCACCCCCACTGCACAGGAAAATAAACTTTTCTGGGGGGTGGGTCTCCAGCCCCTCCCCCAACTCTCTCGGCCCTCCCTTATCAAGAGTGCTTCCATGGGGCTGGTGCTGTGGCATAACGAGTAAAGCCACTGCCTGCAGTGCCGGCATTGCATATGGGCACTGGTTCAATTCCCAGTTGTTCCACTTCCAATCCAGCTCTCTGCTATGGCCTGGGAAAGCAGTGGAAGATGGCCTAAGTCCTTGGGCTGCTGTATAGAGACCCGGAAGAAGCTCCAGGCTCCTGGCTTTGGAATGGCCAGCTCCAGCTGTTGCGGCCATTTGGGGAGTGAACCAGTAGATGAAGACCTCTCTCTCTGCCTCTGCCCCTCTGTAACTCTGCCTTTCAAATAAATAAATAAATAATCTTTTTAAATAAAAAAAGAGTGCTTTCAGGGGCTTTTTTTTAAATTTATTTTTATTTATTTGAAATACAGAGGTACAGAGAGAGGTAGAGACAGAGAGTTCTTCCATCCACTGGTTCCACAAGAGCTGGAGCTGAGCCGATCTGAAGTTAGGAGCCAGGAGCTTCTTCTGGGTCTCCCATGTGGGTGCAGGGGCCCAAAGACTTTGGCCATCTTCTACTGCTTTCCCAGGCCATAACAGAGAGCTGGATCAGAAGTGGAGCAGCCAGGACTCGAACCGGCACCCATATGGGATGCCGGCACTTCATGCTAGAGCTTTAATCTACTGTGCCACAGCGCCAGCCTCCAGGGGCTTCTTAACAGAACCCAACTAGTGTGTGACCTTGGCCAAGTCCACTTCTCTGGGCCTGAGCTCCCTCGTGGGGAAGAGCAGAGGCTGAGCTGAGCTGACGACGCGAAGGACAAGAACCAGGCAGGTGCCCAGGGGTGTCCACAGCCCTTTATGCCTCCCCCCGCAAGCTGGAGGCTGCCTGTAGGGACACACATTTCCAGTGCCCTCCAGTGGGGAGTCTGGGCAGGAGGTGGCTGAGCTCCCACTAGAGATGGGGAAGTCACAGCCATGCACGAGGAAGGCCGGGGAGCGGGGACGCACTGGGCATTCACCCCCGTGCCTCCCCTGAAAGCCAGGCCCACCTCACTGCCACCCACACGTCCTCCGGAGCTGGGCTAACCCAGGCAGGCGAGGAGGCAAAACACAGGGATCTGCGTCGAGGTGGCTGCAGCAGCAGGCTGGATCCCAAAGACACTCTCGTTCCAGGACCTGAGGGTACAGGACCTCACCTGGCACCTGGCACCCCACCCATGGAACAGGAGGCAAGAACTTGAGATGGGGAGATTTTCCTGGATTATCTGGGTGGGCCCAATCTCATCCCACCCATCTTTAAGAGATTCCAGGAGCTGCAGCTGTGGTGTAGTGAGCTAAGTAAGCCTCCACCTGCGGCGCCAGCATCCCATATGGACACCGGTTCTAGTCCCAGCTGCTCCACTTCCAATCCAGCTCTCCGCTATGGCCTGGGAAAGCAGTGGAGGATGGCCCAAGTGCTTGGACCCCTGCGCCCACGTGGGAGACCCAGAAGAAGCTCCTGGCTCCTGACTCCAGATTGGCTCAGCCTTGGCCATGGCAGCCATTTGGGGAGTGAACCAATGGATGGAAGACCTTCCTAAGAGTCTCTCCCTCTCTCTGTCTGTAACTCTACCTCTCAAATAAATAAATAAAATCTTAAAAAGAGAGACTCCAGGACAGGTATTGCCACACGGCAGGTTAGGCCCCCACCCCCACCCCACCCCCTGCCTGCATCTCATATCAGGGTGCCTGGCTTGTCCTGGATCCACTGCCTCCAATCCAGCTTCCTGCTAATGCATCATGGGAAGGCAGTGGATGATGGCCCAAGTGCTTGGACCCCTGCCACCTATGTGGGAGACCCAGATGGAGTTTCAGGTTCCTAGCTTAGGCCTGGCCCAGCCCTGGCTGTTGCAACTATTTGGGGAGTGAACCAGTAGATGGAAGATCTTTGTCTCTCTCTCTGTTAATTCTGCCTTTCAAATAAAATAAATAAATGTTGAGATGAGGTAGAGGGTAGAGGGTAGAGGTAGAGGGAGAGAGAGTCTGACTCCTTTCTGGCTGAGTCAGAAAGTGGCCACAGGAGGGTCTGTGAGACACGAGGTTGCTGGCTTCAAAGATGGAGAAAGCGGGACCCTCCCACGCCTGACCCCACACCTGCGCCGTGTTAGGCCTCTGCATCGGGGCGGCCACTGCCCCGCGGCCTTCAGTGACAGCGGCTCTGAGGACTCCCTTCCCAACACCTTTCCCTCCATCTCACACACAGACCAAACAGCCGGATTCTCGAAAGGCAAACCCCCACTCTGCTTAATTCTGAGCCCGGGTTTCTAGAGCAACGCACGGTCTCTAGGTGGGACCAACCTCAGCCACCCACCGGGAGTCATGAGGGGGAAGCCACGGGGCCTCTCTCCCCATGAATTGGGCACGGGCGCTGTGACGGCTTTGGAGACCGAGGGGGCAAATGAGCAAGCCTTCCTCCGGGGGTCGGGGGCACCCAGGTCTCAGGACCCACACCAAGGGCTGTGTGGCCTCCACACCTCGCCGCACCCTCTCGCTGGCCATCACTCATTACATGGGGACAAACACCCTCCTGGTTGGCATTTCTGTCCTAACAGCCTGAGGACCACAAAAGAAAGTGCAGGTGACAGGATCTAGGATGTGCTATTCCCTGGCCCGCCGGGGAGGGAGCCGCGGAGGTCGGCAGGCCAGCCGCGTGCCCAAGTCAACTCATCACCCAGTGACGCCAAGCCGCCCAGCTCTGCGCCCAAACTTCCATCTGCATCCACTGAGGTCTGTTCCAGTTGGAGGTGCTGTGGTTTCTGCTGGACCCCATCGCCCCCTGCTGGAATTGTTAAGTACTACACTAACCTGCTCTCGATGCCCGTCCCAGGCTTTGAAAACAATTTAATCATCCTCTCCCTGTCCCCTCACCCCACCCCAGGACCCCACACCAGCCAGTTCCCCCAGGCTGACAGAGCTGCCACATGGCTGTGTGGGACAAAGAATCAGCCTGGCTCCAGATTCAGCATCCAGCAAAGAGGACGGGCTCCCAGGCTCCTCGCACCTCCCGAGCCCTCCCAGGAGCCCTGGGCTGTGCCCTCCCCAGCACACACAGAGAGGAGGCCTGGGGGCCTGAGCCCCAGGAAGGAAGACAGAAAAAAAAACTTTCAACTATTAAATCTGTTTAGTAAAGACGATTTCGCTCATACAAAACAACAGTTTACAACAGTCTGAGTGCTGGACACACCGTCTGAGACGAGGGAGGTGCGGCAGGCACCCGGAGCCCTGCCCGGCACCCACAGAAGACCCGGTGCTCCCACCTGCTCCTGGGGGCGAGGTCGCCGGAGGGAGGGACCAGGGCACAGAGCACGGCTCCCCATGCCGTGTCCCCCAGCCTGGGCACAGGAGGCAGAGCTGTTTGGGGGTAGGGCTGAAAGGCTAACGGGCAATGAGGCAGTCGGGACATCTTTGGTGTGAAGACCCCCCCCCCAACACACACACTAGGTCACACAATGGAAACTTGAGGGAGGCCCATGGGGTGGCCGGCTGATGCCCTGCGCCAAGGAGACATGGGCATGCCCAAGGCTGTCCACATACACTGCCCAGCTCGGCCACAGGAGCCGAGAGCAGCCCACTGAGAAGTGGCTGAAAAGGTAAGAAAAGGAGAAAGGGCTGCTAGAGGCAAGAAGGGAAGTAGAGGCTGCTCAGTAGATCAGTGCCCAGAGCACACAGGCCCAGCACGGGGTGTGGGGGCAGGGGGTCCAGTCTTCCCGATAGCTGTGCCAGTGCCCAAGTCACTCCTCTCTGCCTCGCGGAGCCCAGCTGACAGCCAGGACGCGGCCAGCCCGGCTCAGAGTCTGGACAGGCATCCCAGGCACTTTGGCAGGCTCAGTACAGGCAGGGCAGGCCCTGGGAGGGAGGAGGTTCTGAGCCATTGGGGGCCCCTCCCTCTGCAACCCTGCCTGGCCCTGGCTCCTCAAATGCGCGGTCCCAGGCACAGAAGTGGGCACACATACGCACATGCGCGCGCGCGCGCACACACACACACGCACGCACGCATACAAGCATACACACGCACACTCCCATCTGCCCGGCACACTGGTGGTGCCCCAGGCCTCCAGGGGTGACAGGGGGTGGCAGGCTCCCCCATGGATGGCCGTGAGCGCCCAGGACACCGAGCCAGTGGGGAGACAGGGAAGGCGGGTGGGACGACACCAGGACCCTCCCGTAACAGCTCCACGAATCACCCTTGAACAAACCCCAAACCTTTGCAGGATCCAGAGAGGAAGGGGTCTGGCAGGAAGGAGGCAGCGGAAGGGAAAGCACAATAAAAGAATTCATAAAAATCCTAAGTCAAATTACGGATAAAACTGCAAAACGAGCACAGGTTCGAGAGCACCTCCCTCCCTCCTCTCCGCGACCTCCCAACTCCCCCCGTCGGGCATCCGCAATCAAAGGCAGGATTCAGCTGGCCACGCGGTCCAGGCTCCGCGCAGCCGGGCGGCAGAGGGGGAGGAGGGGACAGTCTGTGTCTCTTCGCTTAAAAAACAAATCCGCTCGGGAGTTATTGCTTGTCCTCCAGGGAGGCGGCAGGGCTGCAGCTCAGTGGGCAAGGGCCGCAGCCTCCAGGGCCCGAGCCTTCTTCCTCCTCTTCAGCAGCAGAGGGTTGGACGCGTCTTCTATCTTTTTTATCTTGATCTGCTCGTAGTCAACACGCATTGTGGCCAAGGCACTGGTCATCTCCTCCTAGGGGTGGGCAGGGGTGCTGCGTGAGGAACGGCCTAGAAGGCCAGCAAAGGCGACGCAGAGAGCAGAAGAGACAGGCCCGGATGCTGGCCACCTGCTGGCAGCAGCCTTCCAATGGCTGGCCGGCAGGCTGAAAGAGCACTGGGCCAGATCAGGACCCCCGGGCCTGCTCTGCCCCAGCCAGCCCAGCTGCATGACCGGGGTCCCAGGGAGGCAGAGCTGGCAGACACAGGCACAGGGAGCCGCCACTGCTGTCGTGTGGACACTAGGGCCAAGCGCGCAGAGCCATCACCCCTGTCATGGGGACACAGGGCTGGGCGTGCAGAGCCGCCACCCCTGTCGTGGGGACACAGGGCTCGGCGCGCAGAGCCACCACCTCTGGCGTGGGGACACAGGGCTCGGCGCGCAGAGCCACCACCCCTGGCGTGGGGACACAGGGCTGGGCGCGCAGAGCCACCACCTCTGGCGTGGGGACACAGGGCTGGGCGCGCAGAGCCACCACCTCTGGCGTGGGGACACAGGGCTGGGCGCGCAGAGCCACCACCCCTGGCGTGGGGACACAGGGCTGGGCGCGCAGAGCCACCACCTCTGGCGTGGGGACACAGGGCTGGGCGCGCAGAGCCACCACCCCTGGCGTGGGGACACAGGGCTGGGCGCGCAGAGCCACCACCTCTGGCGTGGGGACATAGGGCTGGGCGCGCAGAGCCATCACCCCTGTCATGGGGACACAGGGCTGGGCGCGCAGAGCCATCACCCCTGTCATGGGGACAAAGGGCTGGGCGCGCAGAGCCACCACCCCTGGCGTGGGGACACAGGGCTGGGCGCGCAGAGCCACCACCTCTGGCGTGGGGACATAGGGCTGGGCGCGCAGAGCCACCATCTCTGGCGTGGGGACACAGGGCTGGGTGCGCAGAGCTGCCTTCCCGCGCACCTGCTGGCTGGCACCCCCTCACCTTGACGTCCTCCCATCGCTCCTTGTCCTCCTTCAGGACCCGGCTGGTGTGCAGGGGCGTCTGAGGGACCTTGGTGGATTGCTGAGGGGAGAGGAGGGGCCCCGAGTGAATGCCTGGGGCAGGCAGGGTCCTGGCCGAGGCCCCGTACCAGAGTGGAGGCCTTGGGGGCCAGCCCCCGGGCCCGCCAGGCTCACCATGATCCAGGGGTGGTTCATAAACTCCGTGATGGTCATCCTCTGCGTGGGCTCCGTTTTCAGCAGATTCCGGATGAGCATCTTCACTGTGGGTGTGAGCAGGACACAGGAACAGCTCAGAGCCCGGCCTCTCCCACATTCTCAGGAGAAACTGGGCCCGAAGGGGCGGCGTGGGGGCACCCGCCCCAGGGACCGCCTGGGACCCTCCACAGCCCTGCAGCCAGTCCTGCCTCGGCCCTTCGCACACAGCAGGGGTGAGCAGACCCAGTGATGGCACCCACATGAGAAAGACGCCCAGATGCACGTGCACACATGGACACATGAACACACACGTGTGCACACACACAGACTCCCCCTGGTCCCAAAAGGCTGGGTTGCTACCTTCCTCGGACACTTCTGACCACTCTGGGTTGGGAAATTCGTACTGGCCCATCCGGATGCGAGTCTTCATGCCGGGGGAGATGGCAAGGCCGTGGTTGGAGTAGAAGGGGGGGTAGCCACACAGCCTGTGTCAAGCAGACGGAGAGGGGCTGAGCGGGCTCATTGATACAGGCCCCACAGAGGAAGCTGGGACAGGGCTAGGGACCCAACATGCAGGGAGTGTAAACCACACACTGGCCACGCCCACCCCTCAAACATTAAGAGAACAGGGCACGCAGGGGATTCCCAGGAAATGTGTCCAAGAGGGGGCACCAACATCTGCCCCTGCTTCTTGTTCGGGACACACGCCGGCCTCCCCACTGGCGGCCGCAGCCCAGCCTGTGCAGCGTCCTCCGTGGCACACTCACAGAATGTACATGATGACGCCCAAGGACCACATGTCACATGACTTGTCATACTTCTCGGGGCCCAGCACCTCCGGGGCTGCAAACCAAAAGTCAACATAAGGGGCCTGGCGACCCCTCCCGTGGACGCCGCTGTCAATCCAACCTTCCAGCCACAGCCAGGGGGAGGAGGACAGGGGAGGAGGAGAGCAGTCCTTGGGCTAGGCTCTTTGTTTATTTATTCATTTATTTTTTAAGACTGATAGGTTGGTTGACTGATGCATCTAGGCGAGAGAGAGGTCTGCCTCCTACTGGTTTACTCCCCAAATGGCCAAAACAACCAGGGCTGGTCCAGGCCAAAGTCAGGAGCCAGCAGCCAGGGACTCCATCTCGGATTCCCACACGGGCCATCTTCTGCTGCTTTCCCAGGTGGCATCAGCAGGGAGCTGGACCAAAAGTGGAGCAGCTGGGACTCAAACCAGTGCTCCAAAATGGGATGGCGGTGTTGTAAGCAAGGGTTTAGCCTGCTGCGCCACAATACCAGCCCTATATCTCTTCTCCTTTTTAAAAGATTTGATTACTCATTTGAAAAGAGTTATAGAGAAGCAGAGAGAGAGAAAGAGAGAGAGAGAGAGAGAAAGAGAGGTCTTCCATCCACTGGTTCACTCCCCAGATGGCCACAACAGGCAGGGCTGGGCCAGGGCAAAGCCTCCTTGGAGCCAGGAGCTTCATCCAGGTCTCCCACATGGCTGCAGGGACCCAAGCACTTGGGCCAACTTCCATTGCTTTCCCAGGTGTATTAGTGGGAGCTAGATCAGAAATGGAGCAGCCAGGACAGGAACCAGCACCCATATTGGATGCCGGCACTGCAGGCAGAGTTGGCTTTACCCACTATGCCACAGCACCAGCCTTAACCCTAGAATCTTAAGATGAACAAACTCCTGAACTGCCAGAGAAACCTTTTATGCCACAACGAAACCTGGGCCCTGGCCTCCCCAGGAATCTGCGGGAACGGCGGCTCGTCGGGGCGCGGGGCTGTGTGTGAGGATCCCACCCAGCGCCTGAGAGGTGAGCTCCACTACCCCCCACTCCAGTGCAGCCCTGACGCCACAGCCAGCGCCAAGGAGCCACAAGGACCCGACCCGCCAGCATGTGGCACCCTCCACGAGTCCAGGCAAATAGCAGGGCCCTGGGCCTCTGCTGCACTTACCCACGTAGTAGGGCGTATAGCAAGGAGTGGTCAGGGAGTTGTGGCTGGTGGTTTCTTTGGCAAAGCCAAAATCGGTGAGTTTCAGAATGGCTTTGGGCCTTTTGGAGGTGTATAAGAGATTCTCGGGCTACGGAGAGAGACAGACAAGTGACGGCCCTGCTGTGGCCGGGACGCAGTTACCGGAAACCTACCGGGCAGCGGCCCTGCCTCCCGTCCCTCGTGCGCATCATCTGCTGGCCCCGGATCCCCCAGGGCCACGCGGGCTCCCTCTAACCAGGTCACTGTCTACCCAGAGCTCTCAGAGACTCGGGGACAGGAAGCTAACACCGAGAGCGAGTGGCAAACACGGCAGGATGCGACCAGGAGGCTCAGGCGGAACAGACCAGCCAACGAGGCCTTCACCGCTGGCGTGGGGGCTGCCAGTGGTCAGAGAGCCCCACACTGCCCTCAGGAGCCAGGTGGCCAGACGCAGGGTCTCTGGCCACCAGCCCCGGCCCACAGTCCCCACAGCACCCACCCAAAGGGGCACAAGGAGCCAGCACCTTGACGTCCCGGTGGGCAATGTTGATTGAGTGCAGATACTGGATGGCTTCGCCGATGCTCTTCATGATTTCTGACGCTTCTGCAGCGGGGAGAGGGGCGGCCGAGGGAAAGGCAGGCACAGAGATGCGTCACCAGCTCTGAACGCCCAGGCCCCCGGCTGCCCCCATGCAGCCCAAGGCTCCCCACACGCACCCCCACCCCAGAGCCTCCTGGCCGCTGAGGAGGCCAGGCCCAGCCTCCATGCTGGCCCTGGACGCAGACCACTGCCCTGCCTGGCCCACAACACCCCCCTCTACCTCTCTCAGTGAACGCTTGGTCTCCACGGTCCTGGATTCGGCTAAAGAGCTCTCCACCATCCAAACTGAAACAAAGCCACAGTGAGACCTGAGGAACACGGGGCTGTCCTGAGCGGGGCGTGGGGACAGGACGGGCCAGGCGCAGCCCAGCAGCCGCTTACCACTCCATGACGATCAGCAGGCACTTCCTCCCCGCGTAGAGGTTCTCATAGACGTCCACGATGCGCACGATGTGTGGGCACTGGGAGGCCCGCCAGTGCAGCTCCACCTCCCTGCGGGCCTTGGGGCAGTCCTGAAGCATCTGCAAGACAAGCCCCGCCCCCCGAGTAAGGGCACGGTCTCTGCAGGCCCTGCGGACAGCCCATAAACCCCACGCCCGCTGGCCCTGCCCAGCCCCTGCAGCCCTTTGCTGGCCTCCCTTGCTGGGTCCTGGGAGGCCTTGGCAGCTGCCTCCTGTGCCCCTCCTGTGCCCTGGCAGAAACCTCCATGTGACCCCTCTGAGGCCTTGACAGCTATGCTAAGCCCCGCCCTCAGGCCATGCCGCCTGCTGGCCCTTTCTCCAGCTAAGGGCAGGAAGTCTATTCTAGAAGGCAGGCAGGGGTTGGGTACTGGAAGACAGGAACTGGAGAGCGAGACAGAAGGAAAAAAACCAGTACAGTAATGAAAGGGGCCTAGCGGGAGAGGATGCGGCAGGGTCAGCAGGGAAAGGTGCTGCCCGGACCATCAGACCCAGCAGGCGAAATCCAGAGCCGGGCTCGGTCTCCCTGTGTTTACCCCACCCAACCGAGAGACGAGAGACGGCGTGCCGTCAGCCAGATGTTTGGTTCTTCTTTTATTTGCGAGGCAAAGAGACAGAGACAGCATTCCCATCTGCCAGTTCGCTCCCCTAAGCACCTGTGACAGCCAAGGCCAGAGCCGGGCGCTGGGAACCCAGGCCAGGTGTCCCACGTGGGTAGCAGGGACCCGACTGCTGGAGCCATCACCGGCTGCCTCCCGAAGCCTGCACTGGCAGGAAGCTGCACAGGAGCCAGAGCCCGGAACAGAGCCCTCCAAGGTGAGAAGCAGGCCTCTTAACCACTGGGCAAACACTCGCCAGCGGAGAGTCTGAAACTGGTTCTTCTAGGTTTGCGACTCTGAACAAGTTACACAGCTCAGTGAGCCCGTCGCGTCCCCCTTGCCCTGGACCAGGTGGCTGGGCCCCCACCAGTCTCAGGGGCTGAATCTTGCCTGGTCCATGCCAGTATCGCTAATTCCAGTCCTTTTGCTAAGGACTGGCTTGGGAAAAAGCCTAGGACTCGGCCAGCCAGGAAGAACTTTGCGGGAAGTCTCCAGCGGCCTCCGAAAGGGAGCAGGAGCACAGGGGTGGGCTTTCCAGGCCATGTGCTGGGCTGCGGGGCTGCAGCAGGCTCCCGGGGCGGAGCAATGTCGCCAGCAGAGACTGCAGCCGTGCCTGTGCCACCTGTGACTGTGGCGGTCACCTTGGCCCAGGTGAGGGGAGCTAGCCTGAGGTCCAACCAGTGCCCTGGGGAAGGCAACCATCTGGATCCTGGCTGACAACCAAGCATCCTGCATGACCTCTCCTGGCCAAAAGCTTAAACCTTGCTTTGTTTTCACACTGCTGTGGTGTGCCCAAAGCATCATGGTATAACTCTCTGGGTTTTTTGTTATTTGTAACATTTCTTTATTTGAAAGGCATGGTGACAGAGAGAAGAAGAGAGAGACAGAGACAGACAGACAGACATTCCAACCACTGGCTCACTTCCTAAACGACTGCGACAGTCAAGAATAGGCCAGGCTGAAGCCAGGAGCCAGGAACTCCACCTGGGTCT